TTTTTTAGTTGTGTCTTTTGTATTATTTAAATTTCTGGTTTTAAGTACACACACTACTAAATACACGCATTGTTAAACTATAGATATTTATTTAAGAATTTGATATCTATTTAATTGTATATGTTATCAGACATATCAACATTCACAAATAATAATAACAAATAACTATTTACTAATAACTAACTAATTAATAACAAACTAATAATAATAATAACTAACTCATAACTATTGCGCATGTCAACAAATACTGATACATGTTCGCATTGTAAGATATTATGAATAATTGATAACATTCACCAAAATGATCGGTAAAAGTTAACATACACCGGTGACTGTCAACATTCACTGTCATGCGGCCATATACTTAAACATAAACACACCGATTTAGGGGGTAAGATCAATAATACTTCATTATTTTTTTTTCTCATATGGCTAAGGAACACCCTAGTGTACATACATTAAAACGCAATATTGTAGTATATTATTGTAACCCACACACATTTCAGTCAAACGTGATTTTCATATTATGATCATTGTAATGCCATAGCAGTGAATCAAATTTAAGTATTGTGTAAAAAACAATATGTTTAACTTTTAGGTCAAAGTATATTATTCTCGTATTACTATATTTACTAAAAATGATTCCATGCATGTAAATATTGTTTAGATATTTTGCTGGCCAGTCTGCGCTTATCATTTTTGTAGTTACATATAAATGTAAGCACTCAAATATTGAAAATAATCTTATATTATCTGTAATACTTTTGAGTCGAAACGGTCGTATATTATTTAGTATTAAGAAATACCAAAAATATGAAATTCAGGTTACAGGAAGTACGAGACACATTAATAATTACTTTATATCCCTTTCGCAGTAGGAAATATTTTTTATAAAACATTTTAGGATATAAGATATCAATTGTATAATAATCGTTACAGTTAAATAGCATGTAAGAAATTACTATGATTAATTAGGTTAAGTGAATTTATTAAATGGAGAGGACATGAAAAAAAAAGGCTTCTCTGGTGGTCGTGTGACTCGACCCCTACAGAAGTTTATGCGTTATATTATGTGTTACCTTAATTCAAATATTATATTCTATATGACAATTATATACAGTCTTATGTAAATATATGTTACAGTCAAACCCCGAAATCGATTTGACATTTACTATTAAACTTAGGGTGCAAAATTGGTTTCGTAACGAGTCCTTTTTTCCGAGCTGTTTCTTTTTCTGACACATTTCACAAAAAGACAAAAAAATACTAACCATTTCAGTGTTTATGTTGGCGTACTTGAAGTTTCAACCTTTAAGCGATCTCTCCTGTTATGTTTCTGAGTGACAAGTGCCAAATAAATGACATAAAAAATGTCTTCTATCAGCAAAATATGCTTAATGTCTTCCACGGATTACTAGGTTTTTTGTATTGCCAAAATCATTTATCCTTCTATATTGAGCGGATGTTTTTTTACTCGCAGATATTGCATCCTCTACCTCTTTTAAAAGCGAATTATATGCACATATTGTAATAACATTATAATGATTATGTTTTTTTTCTCCCACCGAACCAGTGGCGGCTCGTGGGTAAAATATTTGGTGGTGCACATTTATACACTCAGAAAAAAATTACTGCTTTTAATGAAAAATACCTTAAAGAAAAACTGGTATGATTTCGAGCCTATGAAATTATGTAATACAGAAAAGAAATTTTTTTTCATTAAATTATTGCTATTTGTTTCTATTAAAATCAGTGGCAGCTCGTGTATATGTACACAAGTGCACGTGCACTACCTACCCAAACTCAAAAAGAATTGAAAACATAAACTATAATAATACAACTTAATACCTGTAGTGTTATTAAGATTATTTTTCAAAATATAAAAATATAAATTCAGAATATTATGAAAATAATATAATATTTAGATGGGGTTTCCGAAGGCCAAACGAACAGGCGGTTGTCCGCGACGGAACGATATCAGTGTGTGTGTTATGGTGGTGCAGTAGTGTACACTATTGGTGAGCACATTTGTACGATGTAAAAATTAAAACAATTCGAAACACGCAACACGCGTTATAATGGAATTGATGTGCACATTCGTCTCTGTGCACATAACCAATTAAATTATTTTCAGTGAATTATTTTCTATGTCGTCGCGCCGTTGTGCGTTGGCATCGGCATTATGATTTATTTTTTCTCACATTTGTTTATTATATTCCGATTATTAGCTGATAATGTTAGCCATTATCTTAAATTCAAAACAACAATCGTGTTTCTGTTTACTATCGACCACCAACATTAATGTATATTATTATTCGTGCAACTAACGAACAGCAATTAATTTATATATATATATATAAATAGATAGATAAGTACGTTATATGTATGTAACCTATGTTAAAATTAATATTTTTTTTACCCACTTACATATCTTACAAATTATTTGTGCACCACCTTATGTGAACCTCACGAGCCGCCACTGATTAAAACCTTTATAAATGTAGTAAATTTAAAGATAATCATACTTAAAATAATAATGGAGATTATTAAAAACAAGAAAAATTAATAATATTAATAAATCCATAGTGTCTTAAATAGAAGACATAATTTTGAATGATTAATGAAAATAATGTTATAGGTATATTTAATGGAAGTTGGTATTAATTTAATGTTTTTAAATTAAAAACTCTGATACTGAATGATTAACAATTTGTGTTACATCAAGTTAATTAATGGTATTGAATTATGAATGGAATTGAACTATTGCATTAATATATGCAATAAATATAAAATATTTTTTTAAATCAAAGGAATAAATTAATAATAAAAATAATTAAAAACGACTAATATTATAATAAATAATAAAATGCATATATTATTTCTATTTAAGTTTAATAAAACATCATTACTTATTATAATTAACTTCATCCATAAACTTCGACATTGGGTACTTAATCTGATTTATTTGGTTCACTAATGTCAGGAAAAGAGCATCTTGAACAATAGTTGATGGCATGACGGTGGCACATACTAATAACATTTTATGTTTTAATAATTTTATTATACAAATTATCATTTTGATACTTTTATTCTTCGCAGTTCAGTCAACAATCTTATAATTAATTTTAATTTTAACATGATTAACTATTTGTGAACACAATAAATGCAAAATTATAAGTTTATTATGAAAATATATTTTGAATATAATACCAATTTAATATATTTTTGTATGTAAACATCTGAAAACGGTTTAAGCTAAATCGTTTTAAATAATTTTAAAACGGTTAAATTTCAAACCGTTTTAACATCATCTTATAAACGTAGTAATTATATCCTTCCATTTAACCTACAATCCAGACGTGTAAAAGGGTCATATTTTACACGTAGTATACAAAATATTATACCTACATCATCAGATGTTGGTAATAAAACTTTGTTCAGTTGACCACTACCATCCAAAAATAACATCAGTACAATCGTTATTATATTACACACGTGCGTCGTTGAACTATTGAATACGCTACGGTATATACAAATTACACATTGTACTATTTATTAGTACCTAATACTTATTTATATTTTCATAACGAAAATAAAAATTTTTAATGTTTTGGAAATCGCCAGTTACAATAATGCATTATTATACATTTTACACGTATACATAATATATGTATGTATTCATAGCGTGCAAACATATTAACAATGAACACATTAGATGTGTACGAAACATTACGTGCGTTATTTTGTTATCAAATTTCAGATTTGAGTGATATAAAATATGAGGACTCGACTTTACGGTACCATTTGTCGATGTGATTATTGCGGTCGTGAAATACCGAGTCGAATACGCTTGAAGTGAAAAACGCGTCGGAAAGAGACGCCATCATTGAGAATGATGCCACTAATGAACGCGAGGCCGCGTCTCATGATCGATGAAACGGGGTGGCGGTTCTGTGCGCATGCACGCGACACCATTACAAAACCGTGCGGCCGAAAGCGCGTCAGTCTTACGCTACAGTCGCCAGAGTTTGTGTGACGGTTGATTCTCTCTTCCAGACGGTTGAGCAATTCATTGTTTTCACTTTTTTAGTATTCAGTTTCACGGTTCGACGGTGAAATGGATGCAACCATTGCGGGTAACAATGTACCGAACGGAGCGTCTGCAATGGCCTGGCGGGAACAACCTCCGGTCGCTGAGAGTGACAATGAAACGGATAATGCGCCTGAAGGATCAACGGGAAAACAGTCCGATAAAAAAAAGAAAACGGGATACCAAAGAGTACATTATCAAACGCATTTTGAGAAGGTTAGTGAGTTACATTTGTGTCAAACATGCTTTTAGCAATTTTCAACCGTCATTTTTATTTTATAAAACTCTGAAGCTCATATAGGGAGATGTGGAACTAGGAATTTCTACGCCCTATCTTAAAACAATAATCAAATACTGTTTTCGAGAATTTGTTTTCTAATAATTAATATACAATCATAGGTACTTATTGAGTTTTAACCTAATAACAGTATTTAATAAAGTTAAAAATATCAAATTAGTTGTTAATAATTACAAAAATTAACCCCTCTAAAATTTTACGCTTGTGATTGAATCCCCGTCTTCCCCTCCCCCCTAGTTCCGCCCCAGCATACAGGCCATAGACAATAAATTCAAAATATATTTAAATCGTTGGTTTTAGTTTCCGTGACACTAATACATCGACATGTTCAAATCGATAACTATTTATAACATATTATATCGTATGTATGAGTACTTTAATAATAACTTTCTCCGGCATGGTGGTTGGTACTGTGGACCATCTGATTTTTAGTTGAAATCAATTTTTTAAATATATACTCGTCGAATGCGTTTCACCCCTTGCGTTGAAGGTTTTTCATTCGCCGCCCCGTGCTGTAAACACATTCTGTAACGCACCGATCAATAATACGGTGAGTGAGAGGGGACCGCCGTGCCGAGTGGGCAACGCCAAGTATCGCCATGGTTACAGCAGGTCTCATCCGCCACATAAAGTCGTACACACCTAAAAATACGTTTCACAACAAATATATATGTATATAAACATATATGTACAATATTATACAAATACAATATTACAATATATGTCATAAATACAACGAATAAAAATGTAATACTTATAAATTATAATACGTTTTCAATGTTTTTAATGCTGAAGGTATTTATACTGCGTATAATGATGTTTTTTTTTTAGCTAATCTAAGCTATTTGTAAGTGCATATAACATATTACCTATAGTCGTTTTAAGTGCATAAACATTCGGACCTATTTAATGCATACGTTAATTTATTTACATTTACCCGTGTACGTACGTCGCGTACATTGTACTACCCAGTATACGGTCTAGTAAAATCACCGGAAAAATAAAAAATTTTAAAAAAACCTAATCCATTGTGTATGGATGGGGTAGCAAGCAGTTAAATGTCTATACACAATGGCGTGGTGGCGGTGTCGGTAATTTTTATTTTTCCAAAAATAGAAACCTTTATTTGATCAATTTTTTTTTCCATAATCAGAACCGAAAGTGTAGCTATTATAATTCGTATACTTATATTAACTAATCACTATAATTATGTAGTCAATGTCTGTAGACGGACCTTTTTATCATTTTTCATTTCATCATTTTTAGACTTTGGTGGTGGTGATAGGTTGTTAATGAAAGGGTTGTTAGTGTTAACGAAAAATTGAAGTGCATATATTTTTATTCTTTATAGAATTATAAATTAAAATCATTTAAACAAATTGATACTATCGTAGTACACCGTCAATAACTATATAACCCTCGTATAATGGAAATAGTAATAAACTAATCGTCTGACAAAATAATACCTAAATACCCAGAACCTGTAAAACGAATTACGTGTAATACTTCTCAGCCGGCGGTCATCAAAACCGCACACTTACCGTTCATAACCGCACACGGGGTTGCGTACCCAAAAAATGATTAAGTTTATGGGTAGCCATTGCAAAAAGTTTGAGAACACCGCTGGTTATATTTATTTAAATTTGTATTAGTTCACTTTACTTATTTCACTACTGGTAAATTAATTTAACACGTTTCCTTAATGAATGTATTATTTTTTTCATACATCCCAATGAAGATGATTGATAATAATTATTATTCATCAACTTTTATATACGAAAATTGCTTAGTAATTATCAGTGGCGTATACAAGGGGGGTGTTTGGTAGATATGACACCCTCCTTGAGCCGTATCATATATTACATTATTATAGGAATATAGGTAAATCGATAATACAATATGAAATATAAAATAATGCACAATACTAATTACATATATACAGGTTAACATTATCGCGATTGTGACAATGCGTGACGAAAATTATTCGTTTACGTTTTCGTGCAACACTATCCGAATTCGAATATACATTACATCTCTATTACATACATTATGTATACATATTAATTAATTAAAATAAAAGTTTTAGTTTGTACGTATTACATATAATATTTAATAATTATAATTAACACCCCCCTTCAGAAAATCCTAGCTACGCCACTGGTCATTATTATGTATAGTGTGTAGGAAATGCGGGCCAACGAAACGAACGTAATAACAATACGTTTTCATTGAAATGGCAGCACTTAATCGAGCCGCTAACGTTTGAACCGTGACGGTCAACAGGGCTCGCTCTTTGGGCGGGAAAAACGAAAAATAAAAAAAAATTAAACAACTATCAACTAACCGATTTCGTTTGTGTTTTGTTTCGCGCAGCTCACGAAATATTTCAACATGACCAGATCCATCATGAGAATCCGGCCGATTATCCGCGATGGCGGGAAGGTTACGGTACGCGTCCAAATGGATACGAAGAGGTTTAAACTCAATAACAACGACATGATGATGAATTGCATTACGATGGGCAAGGATCAAATACCTTACGCCTATTTGCCACCAAGGAATGCCGGCCGGAGAAGAATCGAAGGAGACCGTTTGCTGTCCTTGGTGGTCGAAACGGAGAACAGGGCACTGAGCTGGTATAGAAAACTCTTCGAGTTCGTCGGGCCAATGCCGCCGGATCCGATCGAGTTTAACGTCAGAACTGCGAACACCATGACAATGTTCCAGATCATATACGATCAAGTCGCATGGCACCTGTTCGTTCGCGGCTATTTGGACGGCGCCGAAGACGTGAACGAGAAAAATATGCCGAAGCGCAACCGTCCACCGCCGGAAAAAGAGCAACCGTTGCCTCGGTCGATTGCGGGGCCGCATCTTCCGATACACTACGAGATGGAGGAATTAATGGACGCGTTCATGTGCTCTGATTGGGACGAAATAGAGTATGTGCCGCCGAGCGATTGAAGTCGATTGAACGCTGTCACCGCGTCTTTTGATTTGCTTAACCACCGACCTTGTTCACCGACAACAATATTAATTAAAATAATAAACATTATGACTGAATTATTCGATCTTGTGTTCATTTTTCCACGCGGAACGTACACGTTCCCGTCCTAACCCTATCTTTGTTGTTCCTCGCCCAGTCGTGCGCGGCGGGTCGGTTCGGAAGTGTTTTCAAACGGTTTTCGAGCCGCTACCCGTTGCCAACTAATTTTCCGACATCATCGTTTAAAATAATATAAAAAGAATAATAAAATAATAGGCGTTTCGAAATGAAACCGATAAAGAAATATAACAATCGGAATTTTGTTTCTTCATCAAATCATAAAAAAAACTGCGCTACAACCAGGGCCGTAGCAATAGGAGGGGGGCTATAGGAGCCTGCGCCCCGGGCGCAATTCCTGGGGGGGGGCGTCAATTTAATTACTACTGTTTCAAATTTCAAGATTCCGGTTCTCAATTATTTTATTAAAAGGTTCAGGTTCGGGTTACGGTTCCGGTATTATATTTTTTTAAATTTATTCCGCAGTATTTATTAATACATATTTAAAAATTATATATATGTTACCGGTATTATGGCATTTTACTAGATAATATGGCATTATATACGAGTATGAAAATAAATATCTCAAAATGTCACTCTTCAACTAATATATATATATATATAGGTACATCGCAATAAATATTTTTTAACAACTATATATATATATATATAGTAATGTATAATATTGTATTATAATTAAGCCTAAAAATAGTATTTAATAATATGAGAAAATATGCAAAATAAAATTTAATTTTTGAACTCATTATGTTGTGATATCACTGAGATAACCTCGTATTATTGAAATTAGAGTATTAATCGATTTTGCCCTTCGTAATGAGCCGATCTAACCAAAGACTGACTCAAAACGCTTTTACGACGAAGTCACCCTTGTTGCGATAATTACACGTTAGATGGTAGAAATTTGAAGTAAATAAATAAAAACACTTTTTAAGTTATAAATGTTATTTTATTATATTACTGAAATACAATATAATGGTAGCCCGATAAGTTAACGTTGTAAGTTTAACAGTATCTGTCTACTCATAAGTCTGGTTACATTGTATCTAAATAAGTATTGGCTCTACGTTTCTATTTATACACAGATAGTTAGACGTAATGCGTAAAAGTAGTTTTAGAATAAGGAAAAGACTCAAGGATTTTCGTTGTTCTTTAAAAATAAAAGTAATATTAATATTCCAAATAAAATATACCAACTAATTAAAATTAATTATAATTATTAATATGGTACATATTTATAATTATAAAAATAAAATATGCATAATTAGATATATTAAATATATAAAATGTATTTCATCACCGGTTTCATTTAGAAGATATTAAGATTGGAAATTAAATAGAGTTGGTATATTATTTATATTTTTTATAAAAAAAAAAAAAAAAACTAAGAAATTAAGTATAATTTTATTTTTACATAAAACAAGTGTTATTAATTATTTCATTTACTATCAATACTTATTTATGTTTTTAAGGCTTTGATGATTTTAAGTCATTTTCTATAGTGTTTAAAATAAATAAAGAAGATATGTAAAAGAGAATATATAAGTAAATAATTTTACCATGAAAAAATAATATAAAATAGCTTTTAACTGAATTTAAATTACTTTATAACAATTTAGCAAAATTGGTAAAATCTAATTCAAAACTCGATAACTCTAACTAGAATTATTTTTGATCTTAAAATATGCATTTGTAAATATATCTAAGCCCTAATTATTACTTTTAGTGATAATAAAGTATTTTCAGTAGCTGATTCTTAGTAATGCACTAATTTTGTTACTGTTAGTGTGGTAATGGAAAAAGCACCAAGGCTACTACAGACTTAAATAACAATTTAATAATGATAATAAAATATATATATACGTGGATTCGCTATCGGTTATAAACAAATTATGATAAATCAAACTTAACTGTTCCTTAAGTATTTTAACGATATCTATATTGAGTACAAAATACACCTATCTCCAATATCAGTAATTCTAAGAGGAATAGAGACTAAAGGCCGAAATAATATAAGAATATAAATTAAATTAAATTATTGATCAAAAAAATACAATTAGCAAATTATTAAAAGAAAATTCTATTTGAGAAACAAATATTGGAAAAAAAAAGTGTTAATTATTTGTTATGAACTTTAATTTACGTAGCTGATTCACAGTAAAAACTCATATCTTAATGTTTATATGAATAGAAGAAGATTGAAAAAACAAGTCATAAATGTTAATTTTTTCAATATCTTAATTAAAATATTAATAGTAATAAATTCCTTTTTTAAAGTGAACCTGTTTAAATAAATGTATTAAAAATATTTAATTTTGTTTACTATAAATGTTCAAATTTATTTTAATAAAAATACTATGTTTTAATTAAAGTTAATCTAAAAAGATTAACTATAAATTAACTAAATTGACTAAGTGCTAGGCATGTATTAAAATGTATTACATAGTAGTGCAAAAATAAATATTACTCGTCATACTTGTATAATTTTTAAGAAATTAATAGAAATATTTTATTTAAAATTAAGTTCTTGGTAACCTATGTGAACCTACAGCCACATCTTGCTCTTAAAATATTACCTACGACTTATTTGTAAATTGCAATTTCTTGGTTCTTGGATTTTATTTGTTCATTAAGACGGTTAGATTCTCTTTCTTTGCTAACATATAATTCTGCTTTCTCATTAATATAACTGTAAAAAAGGTATTTATATTAATTCAGCATAAGGTGAAATTTATTCAAATATTTGACATAGCTAGAGCAAAAGGTAGAACTTACATTTTTTCAAAATAAAATTAATATTCTCTATTTCAATCAACTTTTTCTCTAGTTGTACGCTGAATTTTTAAACATTTAAAGGATACACAGTTTTACTGTTATTGAACATACTATGTTCAGTTCGTTCACAACAGCAAAACTGAATACATTATCTGAAGATGAAAGGTGTAATGGATGAGTCCAACATTGGAACAAAAACAATGACAAACAGTTGAAAACATAGATATTCGAAAAAAGAAATATTATAAAAATCTATGAAAACTTATCAGTATAAAATAAAAAATAATTTTATGTCATCTCTAATAATTGAGAATTTAAGAGAGAAAAAAGAATGTGTCTGTAATATGAGTGTGCATAATTTGCCAAATAAAATGCAGAAGTATTTTTTCCTCTAATGAGAAATTTTAAAATGTCTATTGAACAGAGATTTAAAGTAGAATTTGTAAATATAAGTTTTACTTTCTATGGGAAAATAAAATAAAATACATACTTAAGAGAGTTAGTTTTTTTGATCTTTAAAAAAATTTGTAAGTATAATCAATTTGTTTATTGACTCTTCATTCTTTCTTTCTAATTGTTCAAGTTTATCTTCTAAATTTGCTATATCACTTTTTAAATAATCAATTTTATCTGTAAATAATATTTAAAAAAAATATTTTATCCAAGGAATTTTATCTTTTATATTTTGTTACAATTATACAGAAACTTTTAAATGTTATTTAAGACAATAATGTCATATAAATATTAACTAGAATGGAACACTGCGATAACCCAATGGAAATAATATTT